CATTTATAAACACCAACGACACGAGACGTTTTACGAGTGACATAGGACCCCCCTACCCTGGCAGAGCCTCAGTAATAGCTAGCTGCTAAAATTGCGCATCTCGTCTCTCTATTCCCTCAGTGCCGCTGTGCTTATGCTTATCACCGGTCAATCGTTGCCTAGTCCCTGTACGGCGTTTTCCCAGTCCCTCTTGATCAACTCGTTTCGGTGACGTCGTATCCGAGGCGAACGGGCGGGAAACGGCCTCACATTTTCGCATGGACCAAGGACCACGTAACCCGAAACGCTTTGGCCGCGAGGAAAAATGAGGCCTAGGGACTAGGCAAGGTCAATCGTATTTTAAATCGTATTATATTCTGTACGAAATGGGGGGGGACTCCGCATATGAAAGGGGGGGGGATGCTCGTCGGAAATTTTGAATCAAACCCCTAAAGGAGACCGATCTGGGCGTGGCCCAAGTTTTTTTTTTACCCCTAAAAGAGACCTCAAAACTACACATATGAAATAGATAGTTTTATATTTTTTCGCGTGCAACCCTAAACGAGACCTTCTCGGCTAAATATGATGGCGTTTTGCCCAGAACACCCTAAGTGAGACCAAAATCCGAAATTTACACTCCTAAGCGAGACGACGAGCATCCCCACCCCTTACTTATGCTGGGTCGCCCCCCCGGTGCAAAAACCCGAAGAGACCCTAAAGGGGTCAAGGGTCTTCTGAGGGAATACCAACTCTTCTGAGGGAATACCAACTCGGTGTTGGTTTTCACATGACGCGACACTAAAACTCAAACTAAAAAACTATCGATCCTACCGATATTTAACTTTCACGGTGCATTAGAGTTGCTGAAAACTAATTTTCATACAAATTTTCCCTTCAAAAGGGTTCTTGGTTTTATGATACCAGTACGCTTGAATTTCTGATCTTTTGCGTGACGCGGCATTTACATGACGGCCAAGAGAGCTGTCATGTAGGTTAAAAAAAAAGACTTATTTCAGGAAATTTTGTTATCTAAACAGTTCATGTATTAGAAAAAGTATTACTTTAAGTCATTATCATCATCATCATCATCATCATCATCATCAGCGATTGAAAGAACTAAGTGAGCTGAGGATCCCCCCTTCCAAAATGCAGTTCACGCGAAAATTTTAAGACTTTTCACTTGCCGCGAATAATTCCTGAAATTTTCTTCAAGTTCATGTAAAAATCAAGTAATTCTTGTTTCAGGCCGGGGAAAGTAAATTGAAAGTTAAACTCACGAATGGGCGTTTCCTACTATTTAAAATGTCAGCAAAACCACAGCAACGCTACAAACCAATGAGTGGTGCCGGATCTCCCAGTTGTAGACCTGGGCTGAGTTGCTCAAAGCATGGTTAGCTTTAACCATTGGTTAAGCAGTATCAAAACCAATACGTTGTCAAGGTATTAAACGCTGGTTAACGCTAACCATGCTTCGAGCAACTGGGCCCTGGATCAGTACAATTAAACTTGTAGAAAAATATGAAACGGCAAGCTGATCCTTACGGCAAGGCGATGAAGAAGTAAACAAAAGAATAAAACAAAAATATATATATTTAAACAAATTGCCCAATATTTCGGTTTGAAGACAAACCTTCTTCAGGGGCTAAAAGAAAAATGGAAATAAAAATAAAAGTTCGACAAATAAGAAATTGAAAATGTGACAATAAAAACAATGGATTGTTACTGGTATAGGAGACCAGGTGGTATAATATATCAGTGAGCTTCGTCACGTCTGTTTATTCCTAGGGGAGATAATGTGCTTCTCGAGCCTTTCTCACTGCATCACGGTTGCTGCGTATGAGTTCAAGTGAGATTAGAATGACGTCGTTGATTGAACGTCCAGCTTAATTAAAATGTAAGGACACAGCAGTGGGATCACTGAATTGTTGTTGTTTCCTAGTACATTGGACAAAACTGTTCTGGATTGTATTTTACTATACAAAAATAAAACAAGCTAAGGAACCTCAATTATATTTTGTCTTTTAAACGTTATTAAAATCCACACATGGAAAAATATTTTCATGTTAATCACGCGAAAAGGACTTGCGTTATGGCGTATCCAAACTTGGTAACGAAATCACAAAAGGGCCAAAAATCACTTGATTTCTAAGAAAAGCAAATCAAATGAAAACGAAGCGTTGTAAGAGGCCCTTCTAGGAATTGGGAGGGGGGGGAGGGATTCCATGTTGCTCGTATGAATTTTAAAACGTCTCGTGTCGGTGTTTATAAATGCTTCAGATGAAAAACTGCTCATTTTTGCGTCTATAATTATTCCTTCTAAAATCACTTTGTTTGAAAAGTAATATCCAGCATTCGACACAATGACGTTTCATCACCAGATCAAACACCCTGCAGTTCATCTAAAATACTCCGCTGTGCGTCGTATTTTCAACTCTCTCAGAATTTCATCTGGTGATTTTTTAAAATACTTCGTCTCCTTCTTGATTTATTACATCTATTATACCACTACATGAGAAATTTCTGCAATTTGATTGGCTTAGAGCAGTGGTATTTCAGCTTAATTTGAAATACCTACATGTGAAAATTACAAACCTTTTACGGGTAGTGGTATAAACAAATAATAGCATGATTTGTACGTGATATTTGGCATAAATACCACTCGTAATATTTCAAAATTGTCTCGCATAATTTTTTTTTCTCTTAATTATATCAAGTCATGCAAATACAAAAATTTAATTTATTATATTTTTTATTTACTATTCTGACATGTTAACACAAGTCAATGATATCTGTAATTAAATCGGCGTCCTTAGCGATACGTGTTTGTGGAAAGATTAGAAATGACTTAGATCAACCCACTGCAGATACGCTTGTCCACGCCTTCGTAACTAGCCTGCAGTGCAGGCGTATTTTGGGCGGGCGAAAGCTGCTAGTTTATGTTCGTACTGTTGTAACCGCCATCTTCGTTATGACGGAGGAAGATTAGGGAGAGTACAAATAGTAACCCTAAGGGTAGGTGTGAGGGCGAAAAAAGGAAAGAGGGGAGGGGGAGGGGAGAAAAAATTTTCTCTTCTCTCTCTCCCCGCCCCCTACCCCGCTCCTTTTGACTCACCCCATTTTCTCCCCTCTTTTCGAGTTTCAACAGGCGCTTTAGCCTGCCCGAAGAAAACACCTGCACAGCAGGCTACTTCGAAACGAGTAAAATTGACTTTTGAAACAGTCTCTTATTTGGACACTTGAAAAAGCAGCTTGATAAATTGTAATGTATTCTAAATGCCGCTGCCAAAATTACAGAGACTCAAAGGAATTTCAGCACATTTCTCCCGTATTGCATAACCTGCATTGGCTCCCTGTTACCAAAAGGAAGGTATTCAAGATTCTAACCATAACCTACAAATAGCACTGAATGGAATGGCCCCGTCCTACATCTGTGATCTACTGCAGGTATGTCACCCACCCGCATATGAAAGGGGTGGGGATGCTCATCGGAAATTTTGAATCAAACCCCTAAAGGAGACCGATCTGGGCGTGGCCCAAGTTTTTTTTTACCCCTAAAAGAGACCAAAAAAATACACATATGAAATAGATAGTTTTATATTTTTTCGCGTGCAACCCTAAACGAGACCTTCTCGGCTAAATATGATGGCGTTTTGCCCAGAACACCCTAAGTGAGACCAAAATCCGAAATTTACAATCCTAAGAGAGACGACGAGCATCCCCACCCTACTGCAGGTATGTCACCCAAACAGAAATCTTCGGCACGTTTCTACATCCAGGGGTCTATCATGATCATTGGTAGTACCTACTCATCAGACTCAGGCATACTCGCGGTGCTCGCTCTTTCTCTGTAGCTACACCTACTCTCAGAAATTCGATTCCTTTCCAGTCGACATTAAAAACGCGCAAACTTTGTTTCTCTTTAAAAGAAAGCTTAAGACTTTTTTATTTAATCAATTTCTTACATTTGTAAAGCGCGCTGAGATTATGCAGCTGCGCTCTATAAGAATTATTATTATTATTATTATTATTATTGTTATTGTTATTATTATTATTATTATTATTATTATTATTATTATCACCATTAAATATAAGGGACGAAGCTTCACATTCAAACAACTTATGCGAATGTCCATGGAATTAATGATACAAATCGTAAGCAACAAAATGCCAATTTGTTCGTTTAGATGTTATGTGTCAACATGCCAAAAGTTTCAGGCCCTAAGTACTATTCAATAAAATATAAAATGCAACGCTTCTCAACTACTGTTTTTCGAGAAAGCTCCGTTACTGATAACAATAACAAACGTAACGCTTAAAAGTTTAATTATCAACCAAGAACCCCAGTATCAAGGTCCTTCACTAAGCTTTGCTAACGAGACTACTTCAATCCAGGGACCATCAGTGTGTATAAAGCGTTGCTGCTCGAGAAAATCTCATCGCCAGACTCAAGCAATAAAAAACGTTTTCCGTGTTTGGATAGCCTGACTAAACTCGAAGTTCGATACAGGTATGCCAACCTTCAACTTTGTGTCCGGTTTGTACAACTTAATTGAAAGTGTTTTTATCAGGCTATGCAAACACAGTAAAAACGTTTTAGATTTCTCAAGTTTTAGCCGACGAGGAAATGTGGGGAGTGAAGTAAAGTTCAAATTTGTGATATCATCATTAGTTACTTGGAATTTTAAAAATAATCATTCCTTTTTCAGGTTTTCCGGGAAAGTAACATCAGCTGTAACATAACCGTCAGGAAATTTTGTTGGTGACCTCACGATACAATTCTCTCGCATTCAAATGCAAAATGCCAAGAAAAAGAAAAAAACAAGTTTGCACTGTCTTATTAAAAGCAAGGGGGGCAGATACCTTACAAAACATCTTTGAGTTACTTTTATCATGAGGCAATTAATTTTTATCTTACCTAATTTTTCCTGACCTAATTGTTTCAGACAGCAACCAATTTTTATAGTCTTATCAGAAAATGATCATTATTTATTTACTGAAGCAGTAAAGCGAATCTTAATTCATTATCTGGATATATAGGTTGTTTCGTAGAATGTTTCTATTTCGTCTGGTGTGAAGTAGTATGATCCTGCCAGGAATGTTTGGGCGGAGGTGGTGCCGTAGCTGTATCCCCTCGGTGGGCCGTAAGTATGGCCAAGGTTGCTAGCAGAATTGGTATTGGATGAGGCGTAGTTGTAAATGTAAAAGTCATGTCCTCCTCCGAATATAGGGCCATATGAGGAGTGAAAATATATGGAATATGCTCTGCTTGAACCGTATGTCCCTGTCTGAGGCAGTTTAACAGGTGCCCATCCTGGCTTGTTTACCAGTGAAAATAAAAAGGCTTTGGAGTCGTACCGGTACCCACCGCTGGAAGCTATTAAAGAGAAAAGGAACTGAAAACAGGTGTCATTTGCGACATTCAGAATCCTGATATACCAGATCTACTAGATGAGTTAACCATCTATATGCCGCAACGGCTACAGTATGCGATGAATTAAATAATAATAAAAAAAAAACAGGCGGCATGCCGGATTACTGAACTTTTGACTGCATTTACTGGATAGTGAAATCGATATCTTTAAGAAATTTCATATAAGTATATAGCGCGTGAAATTAGATAAACGAACTTTTGGAACACTCTGAAGTATATGTTTCCTCTTTCCTGTGAGGTTCCCGAGGCTATTATTTATGGTTATTTTATGCTTGAGATGATTTGTTCTCTCACATAACTAAGAAATAAGGAAACTGACTTTGAAGGGGATGGGAAAAATTGTACAGAACTACAAAATTAAAGCGAATGATATCTTGCCAAATCGAACTAATTAGTCTATAACTGCCCAGTTCACAGTGATGAGTTAAAGAAGACTTGTAAGAGCAGTTGTTATGTTACCATTTGTTCTTTATTTTATAGCCTGGATACAATTATACCATAGCATTTTAGTCTAGGAGCAATGGTATTCCCATGGGATTTTCGTGATGATTTCAAGCGACCAGTAAAGAACTGTTAAGGGGGACCTAAGGAACATGTTTAATGCTGTCGGCACTTTTGTATTGCGTGCAGAGGATTTTTAGAAGGCGTTAAAAGAGGAGCACTGTTCTGCCCCGCATGAGAACTAGGCTGAACAATAAAACGACTGAAAAATGGCCCTTTATTGGAATTTTGGCATAAACTACAATCAGTTTCGATATTCTGGGATGTCTTACTTAATAAGTAGTTGATGGTGACACTTTTGCGTGGTCACGTGACCCGAAGTAGAGACTTGATACAATGTTAAAGGTACTAACATTAATACCTTTTCACATTGACAAATTGAAAGCCAGGCTGATAAAGCTGGCTTATAAACTTCTCTACAAGGACCAATGTCTCGTCTCAGGGGATGCACTGTGGCTCTAAGGCTTCCAGAAGCAGTTATGGTATCTTCTGCTTTCACCAACGTTTTCCAGCATAAAAGTTTCCCTCTGACAGGAAAAACGTCCCGTGATATCACCGTGGAACGCTGGTAATGCGGCAAGTTTAACACTACCGATTTCTTCTGGCGCCACGTTTAAAATCTTCCTTCTTGTTTCATTAGGTCCAGCCAACTCTCTCTCTTTCTCTTACCGTTCTCTTATTCGCCTAAGCATTCCCATATAGACCACGAGCATAAGTCTCTCTTTTGCTCGAAAATCTGTGAGCGATTGCGAAATATGACCCTATAAATGGCGTCCTTGCACAACTTGAACACTGTCTGTGCCACGATGCTCCTTTATCCTTAAGCTTTTGAAGTGTACACGTTTTTAATTTTGACCAACTTTTGAAATATTCTAAATGGGCGTAAGACGGCCATTCTTGTATCCACGTCAATACTTTGTCATGAGAAGTCGGTTTCTCTACAAGTCGTTCATTTGGCTTAATTTTGGCCACAAATAATACACAAACTTAAATTGAGGTCTTTGTTCTCTCCTGTTACTGTAGAGCTTAACATTTAGACTGGGTAAAAGACGTAACGGCAATATGTATCCCAGATAGTTCAGGATGTTCATGTGGCAACACACAACACCAAACCAGAAAACTGGAATATGTATTAGCACGTGCAATGAAGAAAATAAATAGCCTATTGACTGGGGTATCTAAAAGATAGTAATACTGAGGCACATTCTGTTGATACTGGCATTAGTTAGGCCGTGAGACTTAAAAGAATCGAAAATGACATTGAATTACTATCAGTCTATATAAAGAACTCGTGGGAACGTTGTTTAAAAAATGATCAAGTGGTTATCAATTCTGGTTTTCCCACAGTAAATTGTAGGAAATGATAGAAATTCAGATTGTTTATCCATATATTTAATATAGGGTGTACTATCTTTTCCATGGAAACATGATACTTTTCTTGCTGTTTATTGCACTTTATTAAGTAACAGTTATTTAGCTATATATTTATAGAAAACAACAACACAAAAAACAGAAAAAAAAGAAAGATGGAAAAAAGAGTTCAGTAGGACTCGAACCCAGCACCATCGGCTCGACGCGACTACACCTCACCACTACACCACAGAGACTGATTACGTAATTATGGGAAAAGTCTCTAACTTAATTCCTTTTCCGTGAAACTTCCGCCGGCTAGATGATCGCCAGCCGCATTAATCGAGCTATTAACCGCAAAAAAACAATGTAAACGCATATTTCATGGCAATGAATGAATGAAAGAACATAATTATGCTTTTCAAAACGCCGATACACGTCCTTGTCTGCAACGTAGGACACAAAACATATGTTTTGTTATCTCGATTTCCGCTGTTGTTTTGAAGCAAATGGTTAAAATCACATCCATTTTCGGCTCATGCAGAGTTCTTAAGAATAGCATGGCATGACATTTTCTCACTTTCACATCACCTTCTAGCAAGCTGGAATTTGTATATCCCCCGTGTTGCGGAGTCGAAGAGCAAATACTCATCTTCTCGTCAGGTTTAACACCTGGACGAGTCAAAGGCTCTTGAATTGAAATCCAATCCCCAAGTTAAGCATCGTACTCATCTGAAAGACATCCTGCGTGTCTTAAATTTGGTAAGACCTCTAACCGTGCTGTAGAAAATTTGCTACAAAGAAAACTCTGAGTCTGGGCAGCGAACGATGCGAACTTCCCCGTGTTTTTATCTGACTTGTTCGTGGCGCAATGCTCTCTGGTTAAATGCAATGCATTGTGGTAAAAAGTGTGGTTAAATGCAATGCATTGTGGTAAAAAGTGATGAATTCGAGAATTCGTCGCCCCTTATATATTTCCCTTAAAGGGACAGTGTCCCGATTATGCGCACGCGCGAGCGTCATCTGTTTTTTTCTTCAAAACACAATAGAACTGTCATATTGACTCGATAAGATTTCCTTCCGGACCGCACCGCCGACAGAGATTTGTTGTTTATATTCTCAAGTAATATTTTAGACTTTCAAAGAAGTCTTTCGTCTTATATAAAAATTTGGCTCGCGGTTCGAAGACTTATCGCGATTTTATCGCTAGCTGGGCCGCCTCGCGACCCGAAAATCTCGTTCCGCTCGCTTTAAAAACATATTTTCTAATTTGAAACTCGTGTCAGAGGTCAGTTGTTCCAAGTCTAGTAATATCTGCCTGATTTGCTCGCGTTCTAGCCTCAAACGTTTGAAAGACATAAATAAAAATGCAATCTCAACGCTATGAATCATTAGAAAGGTTAGTCAAAAATTATATTATGATTTCATGGCACTAGTTTTTCTAAACATGTAGCGCCTGTTTGTTTGATTTTGTCGGACGTTAGGGAGATTCATTTAAAAAAGTTTACTAACGCGTCGTTGCAAAACATCCTGCTTCACGATGCTCCCCTCCACAAGATCTTCTCAGTCACATCAATGTCTCAATGGTTTCTTTCTTACAGTCTTTCATTTCCGTTTCATTTCTGCGTATTCCTTTCACAATTATCTGAGCTTGTATGGAAGCTAGCAGAAGAAATAAGCCTTCAATCGGCATCAAAGTGCTTCCAATCTTTTGGTCCTCCGGCCAACGGCAATAAAAGTAACGCCAAAAATCCAGATTTTGCCCAAATCGAAACTTAACAGGAAAACTATATCATTGATCTGTAATCCTGAGAAGTTTTCGTGTCGTATTGAACCCGGTCAAGCGTGATGCAAACGGATTTTTCAAGGTTCTCTTACTCTCCTCGCATCTTTTGATTTCGCGACATCCTGTCCAAAAATCAAAGTTTGGCGCATGCGCAGTAACGGGATACTGTTCCTTTAAATTCTGATTATGTTGCTGCTCGCTCCCTACGGTCGCTCCGCAGGAATAACTGTCATAGTTTGAAAACGGAATTTCTTATTTTATTATAAAAGCAGTCTAGTTTATACCTGAACTTTTAAGTGCCGGGAAAAAAACCAGGAATGTCCACATTTGTTGCACAATAAATTACTTGTTCTCCCACATTGATATTCCATGGAATCTTACTTTCATCTGATTAAAGGCAACTGGCTTCTTTTGAGCTAAAAATTTGGATTTTTACCTTTTACCAATCTAGAGGTAATAAAACATTCCTAGATGTCTTATGAAATATTACTTTTACATTTACAGAAAAGAACGTAACTGAACAGCCGTTTTTTAAGCATTTCCAAACCTTAGCCTCGTTTTCATGTAAAGCTCAGAGCAATTTTTCAGTGCCCCTTAAGTACCTACTGCACGAATTACAGAGATGCCGAGAACATTAAACATGTTCCTTAGATCCCCCTCAACACTTCTACACTGGTCGCTTGAAATCATCACAAAAATCCCACGGAAAATTTTTCAGCGACATATGCTGCCTAACTTATTTGGCCAGTTATTTTATCGTGTACGCTCTGAAATTTGGGAGGAAAAATAACTTTTTTATTTTTTTAAAAAAATGCCTATTAAGCATTTATCTCTCCACATTGAGGTGAATTTATCCCCGAAAAATGCGTGGTTACCCCCAGTTTTCTTTCTGGATTTCAATAGCCCTTTTTAATGGTATGATCTACATAGTCATTTTCTGGAAAAAAAAAATACTTCCGGCATTAGTAAGCACCGTCCTTAAAGGCAGATTGATTGACTCCATTGCTCACTATCCAGCTGAACTTTAAGCTTCATGTCAAGTGTAATTCTTTCAACGACAGGGCTGTTATCAAATTCGACCAGTGTTTACATTGTTTACTTACCCCACGAAACACTAGTGTATCCTCCAAAAATATATTTCCCGACCTTTACTATTGTTACGGTCGGTCCCCTGCCGTCACAACGGGAGTGAAACGTACTTGCAGCCCAGCCGTCCACTGATGCACGCCAGCAGCGTATCCAACGAGAATTAACGCTTCTTATCACCAGTGAAAGCCATTTGTTTAATGGGGTTAGATTGTTTCTGTTGTTTCCCACAATAACGGAGTCTTGTAAGCCTAGAAAAATAGTCAACTTCCTTAATTTGATAAAAAAAACTATGGTCGGGCAAAACTGTTTAAAACTCTGCATGAACTGAATTGATCGCTTTTCGAGCAATTAGTAACATTGCAATTTACACGCCAAGATAACAGTTATTTTAATTCTTCTATCATTTTAAACTGTAACAGCTTATTCTATTCTCGCTCCTTATGAATACTAGCTTTGTTGCTCATAAATTAAACAACATGACGTCAAAATGACATCAAATAACGTCATTACGTCATTTTTTTTAAAAAAAAATAGATTTTTGGAAATGATTATTCTGAGTGTGTAAATCTCTCGAGGCAGTTTCATGAGCGGTTTTGAAGTTTTAAAGAAGGGGCCTCTGAAGAAACTCTCCGGTCCCAGGAAGCAAAAATAAGCCCGGTCTGAATATTAGGGTTAACTGCTCACCTCAAATGATGTAGTCAACCTAACCTCAAATCACCCAGCACTCATACAGAGTGATAATTTATACTTAACATCTAGGATTTTGTAAGACATGTGATTGGGTTAATTTCTCTTACCATTAGGACTACAGGTTCGTCCATCTCCTATATATCCAGGTTTGCAGGTACATGTGTAGGACCCAAAGGTATCGTGACATATTGCATTGATATGACAGTTATCAGAGTTACTTGAACACTCGTTCAGATCTAAAGATAATTGAAACACAACAGACTGAAAATGTTTAATAAAAGTAGATACCGGAAAGGCTCAGAAATGCAAGGATGGTGGTGTCTTCATTATTTTTTTCCGCTCAAGACCCTCTACAAAAAAAATATTGAAAAGATCCGAAATTGATATTCGTCATGTTCACTGTACAGTCGAATCCAGCTAACTCAAACCAAAATCGATTTCCCCTTGATTTCCTCCATACGTTCACCGTAATTTTTACCCTCGGTAACCCGAACCTCCTGCTATCTCGAAGTAATTTTTGTTTTCACTCAGATCATCTCCAGTATACAATTTTACCCCCAATAAGTCCAAACATATTTTGAGCGCTTAAAAAGTCGAGGAAAAACAGTGTAGTAGCGTCCGAAACATTGAATTTTGAATTTCCCATTGACGTGTTGTAGGCATTTAGTTTACTGGTGAAGGGTGATGTTGTTTGTCACAAATCTAACGTGAACAGCTTTACTTCTCAAAACAGTAAAACGCAATATGCTATATTTGGGCTATTTTTTTTTTTACATTACGTTCTGATTTATAATCTAGAAGTCTCTGTCAGTTTTCAGTGAACATTTCCACTAGTAAATGTGACTGAAATGTTCACTGTACGGTAAACAAAGTTTTTTCCTTACTTCTGACTATTATATTTGAGCTCTGATAACTCAGTCGGACTCCCAATAACTCGAACTTATTTCTGCTGGTTTCACCAATGTAAGTATCCTGGCAGACAAGATCAAACACTGAGACTGCCAGACATTGGTGAAACCTGCAGAAACCCTAGCACGCGACTGACCGAACACAAACGAGCGACGAGAAATGGTGACGTCAACAATCACATTGCTGAGCACCATTTACAGACGAAACATCGAATTGACTGGGACTCTGTGGACTCTGTGACATGTATTACGTATTCTACAGACTACTATCATCGACACACTTTAGGAAGCTGGTTTAAACGCCACTAGTTGAATCGTAGTCAACAGTTACTGATACCGTGCAAATGACTTATTGCCGGAATTAAGCAAAACTAACTACGAGAGAACGACTGGACAACTGACAATTTGTCTGACAATAAATGACCGTTTAACTCTGACAATAGACGGATCGAAACGCACCAATGACATTACGAGTCGTCATAGCCAATAACATCACGGCTTAAGCGACAGACGACCAATAACATCCGGGAACTTGAATAAGACGAGAGGAAAATAAGTTTGTAGTGGTATTTATCTGCCAAAAGCCAGAGTTTTTCCGAAGTATTGGATGATAGGTCGCTTGTGTTAAACGTGAAAAGATTATTTGTGGTTGTCGACAGTCTTAAGTGTGTGATTGTGTGATTTCAGTATGCTGCTCTGGTATGTGGTCGCAGGTGGTCGCGTGGTTGAGCTGCTACACTAAAATATTCTGTACAAGACATAAAAACCCTTCGTCGGTGTTAGCTTAGGTGATTGTACCTTGGAAAACAAATTCTCGATTCAGGAAAATTGAATCTAGGTCTAGTTTCAGGGGGCACATGGCTTTAAACCGGCCATAGGCCGATTTTTGCAGATCAGGAGATCGATAATTTGTTTACCGATCAGTACAAAACATGGACTGCGGACTATGAATTACGTTGGTAAAAACTGTGCTAATTGGTTCTAGGTAAGGTAAAACAAGATCAAAATATCGCGAAATAGCACAACACGTGAGTTTAGGTTATAAATACTCCTAGAAATTCTTGGTGGAGGTGTGCCGTCCGGCTCTCCAAATCCTGAGCCTGAACAAAATGATGTTTTGTACACCCATTTTCAGACCTGGTCTCGGTCTCTAACATCCATGACAGGGGCCACAAACGCGATGTACCTGTTTACATAGGTGTAAATCATGATGATATATTTCGGTTATTATTCATGTATAAGTGAGTAAACCGCACCCCCCTCCCTCCTAAATACAGCTTTTACCAGCGACTACCATATATTGACCTTCTTGTCTGGGTTCTTCATTGCCTTATATCCCAAGGCTTTCAATGGAATTGTGGCAGAACTTAACTCTCTCTAACACCCATACTACTTCTTTTTTAATGCCTCTCAATTTCAAATCTTCTATTGGTTTCAAACTGTAAATTGAATTCTCTTCTAACTCCTCCTTTTTATAAAATTCAGAGTTTCATTTTCAGTTCCCTTGAGCACAATTACTTCAAAGTCACCTTGAACTCATCTGGTTGCTGTATGTCATGTATATCTTTAATTTATTGGCCTAAGTTTCAATCCATTGCAACAGACAACAGGAAACAATGTCAATATGAAAATCAAACCATGTCTTAAATCACAAAACTGGACCACTATTTTTGGAATTCAATTGATGCAGAAAAAGTTTTAGCCTTTTTAAAAAGATAGCAAATAGCATGACACAGTCCCGTGACGCTGGTGGTAAAGATCCTGCTTTATCTTGAGTTGATTCGCTTCTTATAGTTCGCTGTCAAACAGGTCGAAAGTTATCTATCCAGTCCCTCATCACAATCTCGTCTTTTTTAGTCACTGCACCGATGAGAGAGACATAGTTATGGGTGCTAACAAAGGCATGAAAGTATTAAACACGGGACAATTCGACTTTTCGTGAGTGTAGCCCTCTTCGAATTTGTAGTCAGTTCACTATGCTACCAAAGTCTTGGGCGTAGTTCAAAGCACTAAATGTTTTTGTGCTGTTGTGAGAAATAGACTACGAGCAGTCTTTCTTTTTTCTTGGTCCGTCGAGTAAAACGCCCGAGACACGCAAATGACCACGCGCGTGACTGAAGGGGCGAGACGGGAGAGGCACTCCCTCGTTTCTCGCGTCTCGCGGCTTCGCGCGCGCGTGCATTCTCCTTACTAAATCTGAAGAAAAAGAGGGACTGCTGGCAGTCTAATAGCCTGTTTAGCTGGCGGTATTGTGCAATAGTCAAAAGATATCCAAGGGTTTAAACACGAGGTTAATGGTCTCAATAGGTAGAACTGCAGCATTAGTTACAAAAATGATTTCTCGAAAGATGCTGATTTCTCTGAGACATCAGAAAGCAATTTATTTTTGGCCAGATCCAATGCTAGGAGTCACAGCTTTTTTCTCTGGGTAGTAATGTTTAACTTTTGGGTCCGTGATAACAGTATTTCCTTTTTTCGAACGCAGAAATCTTGTTGATATTAGAGGTCGCATTATTCGTTGAGCTTTGAGCTGTCTACGAACAGCTCTATCAGCTGACCCTTAATTTCTGTTGCCCGGTATTACCCTGGTGCCTTTTGCATAATTTTATAGTAATATCAGTGAATGTGCTACCGGGTTATCAGCGGGACAGAAAAGAGTCAGAAAATAGCATTTGTTTGGAAAACTTTGTTACTTTCATTAACATGCACCAACGATCGTATTAAGTAAAATTAATAGAATATCATTTAGCTGTTAACTTTGCATTTATCAGTCAACTACTAATTTTTGGGGCCAATTATCAGTTAACTAATGATTTTTTGGCCAAATATCAGTTAACTGCTAACCCCACTGGCACCCTCTATCGACTTACCTGGCTGATCTATGAACAAAATATAGATCCATCGTATGCCAGCCTAAGCTTACATGTAATTCAAAGTAGACAGACTACAAATTATAGTAGTTGCTAAAAAATATATCTACGTGTCCCAACTGTTCATCAGTAGGATGCCTATAAAATGGGTGCAATTCCACAATTGGTTTCGGCTCCATTAAATCCTATACCAATTGCAGAACTTTTTAGGAGGAGCCATCCACCGTGTGAGCACAGTCGCGGACAACACATATAAGTGAGGAAAATAACGCAAAGAAAAACTAAGACGTTATTAAACGAACTAAATGTACACGCAACTTAAATATATAAATAATGCACGCGCCCAAAATTAAATTGCACGCGCACCCCTACCAAGATACAACTGAAATAAAAATCCAAGTAATAAATAAGCAATGTAAGGATACGATGGTGCAATTTAAGCCTGGATTGCTAATCTCATCTCCTGCAGGGCTGCACCATACTTCTCGACGATAAGACCATGGCGATTGACGAATTTATTAAATGAATTCTGAAGTCGATTGGTTTCAAAGCCTTGTTGTGAATGAATTTCAAACAACAACACATTAACTTATAAAACTTTAACAACAGATAAACTGGCACCTGATGATGAAGGCTTACCTGCACAAATCACCGAGGCATCTTCACTGTGATCGCAATCTCCTACGCCCCATCCTCTGTGCAGACAATCTGCAATTGAACTTTCACTGCCAGTACAATAGACATCGTCCAGCCAAATCCGACCGCTTCCGGCACCAAAGCGCGCAGAGCCCAGAGCACTAGCAGCAGAAGGAAATCCCAGTTGGCGACAAACTACGTTAGCATCCTTCATATCCCAGCCATGATCACAAACAGTTCCCCAGTTGCCATTGTAGAATATCTCCACTCTTCCTTCTCCTCTCCACCTTCCGCCAACCAGTTTTAATTCTAAAAAGGACCAAGACAATTGGCCAGCATGAGAATTTGATTAATTTTATTTTTTTACGGTGTAGCTTCTTGAGTGCATTTGAACCCTCACAAGTGCATCCATTAAACTCTATGATCGCACAGCTGCAACGTTTATCATTTCTTTTATAACGTCTTGTAAAGAAAACCGGCAATAACAAATTTTTCCGTAGTTAATGAAGCGGAATGGTTAACGTCTTTGTTAAATGTTTTTCAGTATGGTTATATGCTTCAGACAACATTCAGTATCATTCCTATCAGGGAGGTCTGGCGTACCTCTGAAGATTCTATTAATGAATTGATTATTTGAAAAATGATTCCGTTAGTCGTTCCCGTAACTCGAGTCAAATTCAAATCGCATTCCAGATCAGCTCTACGCTGGTGAAATAATTAGTTTAAGTTCTTTATATATTTACTACTACAACATATTTAAAGAATCGAGAAAATGCTACGTTGAGGATGCTTACTTAAATTAGATTACTTACTTGAACAAATCACAGAGGCATCTTCGTTGTGATTGCAATTTTGTTTGCCCCATCCACGGTGCTTACAATCTGCAATTGATTTTTCACTGCCATAACATCCCACATTGTCCAGCCAAATCTGACCGCTTCCAGCACCAAAGTGCGCAGAGCCCGGAGCACTAACAGCATCAGAAAATCCCAGTTGGCGACAAACTACGCGAGCATCATCCATATCCCAGTCATCATCACAAACAGTTCCCAATTTGCCAAGGAAGGATATCTCCACTCTTCCTTCTCCTTCCCAGCTTCCACCAACCAGTCTTACTCTTGGTAACAGGACTGCCAATTTCAAAGTATATAACGTCGTGATTATCAGGACAAAAACTATCTTTTTTTAACAACCATAGGGATTCGGCATTTGCATGATATAGGGAATCTGCCCAATTCTAGTTAGACCCCCCGAGAGAAGTGTTATTTCAGCTCCAGCGATCATTTGAATTACGAAGCAGAAATAATTCAACATCTTTAGCACTTTTAAAAAAGGGTTCGTTAACTGTGGTCACGTGCTTGATGGCGTGATGATTTCACAAAAAGAGGAAAACGTACTATGGCAGGCAATGAGCCATACAGTGTTTATTGACTTGGTGCTTATGTTCAAATTCTATCCAAAACAGAGAAAAATCATTGTTTCGGAGAAATTCTCTATGAAAAACCCCAAAATTTATAACGAATGTATGAGCTCATTAAAGTATTGCCACAAATTCTTCGTAAATGCCTACCTTGCTTTGCTGTAGATAAAGCAAGAACTAACGCTATCAAGAACACCACAGGAACCTTTGCATCCATTATTTAACCTAGAGAAAAAAGTGATTTCTTTATCAGTAAATGGCGCTTTCAAAGTTTTTATTTGGGCGGAGTGCATGTCAAAGACAAACGTAAAGTAAACAAATGAGCATTTTAAGGCAAACACGAGATTAAGGTGCAAGTCACATATCACATTTTTTCGTACAGGTTTCTAAAGGGCGCGTGGCGAGCAAAGCACATCGTGCTAGAAATTGATTACAGTCCTATTCTGCGTGATAGGTGTCGGACGAGGTCAGAGAAGAAGAGCCAAAGGGAAGGGGATTGGAGATTTCGTGTTTTCCCTTTCTTCTCCTCTTCTTCCTCTTCCTTCCTTGTTGTTGTTGTTATTATTATTATTATTATTATTATCATCATTATTATTGCCAACGAGACAACTGATCTAAGACGCGAGGTTGCCTCGGCGGCAGATCCATAATGCCGCGCAATGTAGGCCAAAACTCTCAAATTCTGCGTATCCCTCTAAAATTTGCATTTTTGAACATATTTGGGTGTAAGTAACATCCCATATTTGGGCAGTGACGTTATGGTCTTGCATTTACAACTCGTGGTTAGAAATTGGGTGATTCAGTGTGCAGCTGTTCGTTATCTCCCCAAGAGGACGTAACAGGTGAGCAAGCTTTAATACGATTTCTAGTTTGAAAGGGCTATAAGTGCTCTAGTTTGCTTTATAGATTGCGTTCAAAGAAGCAGCCGATCAAGGAATAGGGTTTTATGCTTCAATTTTTGTTAGAACCAGCGTGTTCTTAACAGCTCGATTTATTACATTGAGGTAGCGTGTTTGCTTCTCGACTCAGAACTAGGGTTTTCAGTGTTCTCTTTTCCTTTTTAAATTGAATTTTCATTGCCAGAAATCGTGGACATTTCGCGCCCGTGATCAATTGTCAGCGGAATCTCGTTTTTAAAATGGCGGACAAAAACTATCGTAGTCAGGGAAAGCGTATCCCTCGCGATTTTTTAAATAATTTGAGCTCTGTGGATCTGTTTTACGAAGAAAAAAGCTGGAATTAAACACCTTGCAAGAAAATGTTAGGTTTATACGCGGCCGAGCGGCTGATAGCAACAAAACAGTATGCGGATGTACCTTTCGTGGCATTTTCGTGACAATTTTGTTTTAAAACCAAGCCTGGTAGGCTAATCGAGGATTTTTGAATGACTGGAATCTAGTTTATATCCCGTGAAGCATCTCTGGAGTTGTAGCAACAAACAAAATGGCGATTCGGTGAGGTCTGGAGTTGTGAAGCTTTGTCCGACCGAAATGTGTCATTTGCAACCATGGCGTTCATTACTGGACTACAGATGGAAAACTGAGGGAAATAATGCGCCTTTGGAAGTATTTTGCAGTGCAAAAATCGTTCTTTTAACGACTGTTTTGGAAACATCTTCCATCGCAGAAGTGATATCGAGTCGGGCAAATTTACTTCAGTGAAGGGTTTATCCTCTAATCGACGAGTATTTCGCATGACTTCGGCAAGATTTTAAGACAATGTATGAAGAAATGGAGCGTACAGCAAGGAATAAAAGTGCCCACGTCAGGAAGTAAGTAAACGTACTTCTAATTAGCTATTTTTAACCCAGATGCGAGGGTTACACAGCACTTAACATGTTTCGAGTCGGGCACCGAACACCCGTGAGCTCATAATCGATATATTTGAAAAAGTTTCCTTATCTCCATACATTTTCTTATACGAATTCGCAGCCATTGTGGCCTTAGTGCGCACGTGCAACCGCCATCTTGTCCCTAATTTCTGGCAATGATGCGGTAGCTTATCAAGGAATAGGGTTCTGTTCTCAAAACTTTTATTAGACTTTTCACAGTCCCCTATTTTTTCGTGAGATCGTCGAGATATAGCGCGTCTTATGTGCCGAGCGAAGGGGGGGGGGAGAGCGTCGGGGATTTAGTGTTGACACTCATGCAAGATGGCAGCCCGTAACGGAAAGCGCTCGATTTCGACGATCTTACGGGAAAATAGAGGACTGTGAACAGTCTCAACTTTTATCAGAACCAGCGTTGTTCTTCGCAGTTCCATCTACATTAAGCCAGTCCTCAACTCCCGTGAGGAATGCAACGCATTTGAGGGCGTCTTGTTTTTTAGAATTAAGAGACAGCCCTTAACTTCTGTGACGAATGCAACGAGTTTGCGGACCTTTTGTTTTAAAGGCCATCATAATGAATCATTATGCATTTCATTATTTTTGTATTTTATTCAAGTTTATATTTTTATAGCTCTGATGATACATTCGATTCCGCCCCATTCTTGCGCCATGTTTTCACACATTTTGCTTTACAACTTTACATTACCACGGGGAATATTTTTCTAATCGCGGACATACGATTAATTTTCATTTTTAATTTAAGCAGTCAAAGTCTAGGTAGAAAATTTTCATCACGGTAGTAAAATGATATCAAGGTGGAAAAAGTCACATTACGGTACGTAGCCGAATTGATATCGAGGTAGAAAATCTTTCATCATGGTAGTAAGATGATATCAAGGTAGAAAATGTCACATCACGGCAGTCAAATGATATCAAGGTGTTGGTAGCCTCCCCCGCAGACATTCTTAGCAATCTTTGTAGTTCTTCCTATGTCCGCATAGTGTGCTTTCACCCAGAGACCTCCTAACCCTATCTGTTCCAATAAGCTTGTGATTTTTTTTGCTCCAGAATCGAAAGCTTTCTTTTCATCCCATTTAATGACCACTAAGTTCCTACAGTTGGGCTTCAATTCTCATTGGAAACCTTCCTATCTCAGCCCTACACGCATTGTTATTGCAGTATTAATACTCTAGCAACCACTTCATGAATTTATTTTGAACAAGAGAGGATAAAGGGGAGAAAGAAGGCATCCCCCCACACACCCTATTCCATAGGTAATTCGTCTCGAGTTATTTTTAAGACCACAGATCCCAAGGGGGATTAGACAACAGCCAATCACATAGCGCCAATGTGTTCCGCATAGATGACCCACGCTCAGAGCCACGTGTCCTTCACGAATTGACGCTGAAAAAAATGGCGGAAGACACGGAGAGCGATATTGCTGTTCGTTTTGTCGACGAAAACGACTAAAGAGAGATTTCTACTAAAGCGGTGTCAGCGAAATGGAAATTAAAAAAGAATCGCCCTTCCTCTCTTGTATAGAGCAAACAGTACAGCAGGGAAATCCTTAACACACTGAATATTCTCTCGGGATCATTTATAATTTACAGTTTTAAGAGAGAAATTTCTTGTTTGATATTTATTCTTTTAATAGTATTTTATTGCTCAACAAAAATAACACTTGGCGTCCTACTTGCTTTATTGTACAAACGACCGGTTTCAATAGACCGGCGAAATTTCTCATTTTATTAAAGCACTGAGGTTACGACAACTTCGAGTTAAACTGATTTCACGTGTTGTTAAAGAGTCCAGCGATTCCCTTTTCCCAGGTGAGCGCCGACTCATTTCGCTTCAATATTCAGAAATGCTCTCGATCTCTTTACGCAGTCATTGCCTATCACCCAACATGTTTTGCACGGCGTTTAGTCATGCGAAACCTCCACGAAACATCCACGCAAAGTGCGAGGTAACTTTATCCCGATTCTAAAAATAACTCGAGACGAATTACCCATGGAATAGGGTTTGAATGGGGGATGCCTTCTCTGTTCCCTTTATCCTCTCTTGTTTTGAACTAATTCTGCTGGATCCTTTTCTAATTGTCCATTGCAATCAATCCCCCATATTTCACTCGCATGGGAGATATCAGTGCATCAAATAACTTCATCGTTAATTTTATTTTTATATTTTCTCTAAAGTGGTTTCCCATCTCTTTTCGTAATTTATAGAGAGCTTTGAGTGCAACATTCTTCAGCTCTTGCCTAGCGAGATGAAAGTTTCCATGATAAGGACTCATTATTAGTCCAAGACATTTGTAGGATTTGACGTTTTCCAGTTCATCAGCTCCGTATCTGAACGAGTAGTTGTTTAAAGACTTACCACAGTAATTAAAAATCATAATTTTTTTGTCTTGTCTAAATTTACACCATAATCGGCATTTTCACAGAAAGATTCCAGCTTATTAAGGATTATTTGAAGGCTTTTTGCTGATCTAGAGAAAATCACTAGATCGCCCACATATAAGAGACAATTTATATATTTCTCACTTAGCATAATGTCGGTTGAACTCACTGTATTTAGGAATTTTGGTAGATCACATAGATAGAAATTAAGAAGAGTAGGTGATAACATGCAACCTTGCTTTACCCCGGCATGCCAAGTAAAGGATTGGTTTATTTGTTTGTTTTTTATTTATTTATTTATTTATTTTATTGATTTTTAAGTTGGTTTATTTGTTATCGATTTTAACTGCCCATTTATCATTTGAGTACATGGATATTAAAACGTCCAAGAAACGTCCTTGGACACCTTCTTTTCTCAGTTTGTCGGATTGTTTCTGACAAGGTATACAGTCGAAGGCTTTTCTAAAATTGACGAAGCGTGAAAAGAGTAAATTTCGGTGCTTCTGTGGTTTAGATTTCATGTACTTGTCAATTAGAATTTTTAATGTGAAGATGCTATCAACTGTGCCATGCATTTTTCTCAAGCCACCTTGTTCGGCTTTCAAAATTCCTTTGTGGACCATATTACTTCCTGACAAATGTGCCGGGGGTGGAGCGGAAGGATTGG